CCTCTTTCTACAGTATGACTGGAAAATTTATCATGTAGGCTGGGTATTATTAGTAACTGTGCTATTCTATCTCCTGGTGAAATTACTGATATACCCTTTGGAGAACTGGCTATAATTTTTATTTCACCTTCATAATCGGGATCAATTACCCCAGGACTTATCATAAGTCCTTTCAGAGTAGAAGAGCTGTGTCCCAATAATAAGCCTACTGTTCCTTTGGGAAGAGGTCCTTTTACCCCTGTGGGAATGATTTGAACTCCCATCTCTGGAGTTAGTACTGATCTGGTGGAGGCGCAGATGTCCAACCCTGCGCTCCCTCTGGTTTGTCTGATGAGGGATCTGATGGACAATGTGCCCTGGGCACTACCCTGATGGGGTTGCTGGGTTCCTCCAGTGCTCCATATATTTGTGGTCTTGGGCCCCAGAGCATTGGGCCCCCCTGTCCATTTTTTGGCAATGGAGCCCGATGCCTTTCTCCACGATATCATGGATAAACACCTGGTCCTTGTTCGTTTTTTGATAATGGAGTACCCTCTATGGTGGTTTGAGAACGGCATTCATTAGCCCAATGTCTCCCTCTATGGCATTATGGGCAAATACCCAGTATTCTACTCCTTTGATACCTAGTTTTGTTAAACCCTCCTCCTATGGGGCAATTCCTTTTAAAATGTCCTGTTTGTTTTCAATTATAGCATGTCCTTGGCCTGGCATCTAAAGCCTGTTTTACTGCAGCTGCCACGACTTGCTCTTGTTCATTAAGGTCTCTACATAATTTAATATATGTGTTTAAATCTTCATGCTTCCATGGTCTAATGACTTCTCTGCACCAACAATTCACTTGCTCATAAGCCATTTGTTTTATTAATGGCATTGCTTGTTCTGTATTCCCAAAAACTCTGGTAGCTGTTTGAATAAGCCTATCTACAAATTCAGCATAAGATTCATTAGCTCCTTGTATTACCTTAGATAATTGACCTTGTAAACCTCCATGTCCTTGTAAAGTTTTCCATGCCCTAACTGCCTCTGCAGCAATTTGTGCGTATACGCAAGGATCATATGCAATTTGTTGCTGCTGATCCTCATAAGGTCCCTTTCCTAACAATATATCTAGATTTCTCTGAGGATAACCAGCTGCTGCATTTCGCCTAGCCATCTCCTTGCAAAATTCCTCATTGGCAACCTTCCATAACAGGTATTGACCTCCATTTAGCACAGCTTTACACATATTAGCCCAATCTGCTGGTGTCATGTTCAAGTTGTTAATGGATTCGACCATGCTTACAGTGAAGGGTGCTTGAGGACCATAGGTTGTTACAGCCTCTTTTAGCTGCTTCACTGTTTTGAAATTTAAAGCATGGTGAATTCGCTGCCCTCCTGCCTCAAATACAGGGCATGTTAATATTTGAGATCCTGTCTCAGGATCCCAACTATCAACTGCAGGGGTTGGGGGCCTCCCAGCATATGGAGGTGACACTGTTGGTTGGACACTTACGCCCTCTGGTGATAGAAAGGTGTTAGTAGCAGTCTCTTGTTGTAATTTTTCCCCTGATGGCTTTTTCTGCTCTAAGCTTTCTTCCTCTATCTGACTAGCTTGAAAGACCTTCTCTTTTACTTGAATCTTTTCCTCTTTCTGACTAACTTGAGAGACCTTCTCTTTTACTTGAATCAATATGTCTTCTCCTTCCTCTACCTTTGTCTGAACTGAAGGCTTTGGACTAAGCAAACCAGATACCAATGCCCACAATGTCAATGTGCCAACTGGCAGAGTTCCTGGGCTTTTCTTTTCTATTCTTTTTAAATCTTCACCATGATGGTTCCATTGTGATATATTTAACAACTCCTCCTTAAAAAGCCATGGGCTACATTTTTGTATTGTATCAACGTATGCCCTGACTGCTCTTGATTTTACTGGGATGCCTCCTTCCTCTAACAATTTACTTAACACTCTTTTGGTTTGTTTTTTACTAATTTCTGATCCCATATTTCTCCTATAATACAACCCAACAAGATAACACCAAACAAAACCGAGACAGAATGAAATAAAAATGGAACCACACAAAATCATTATATCAGCCTTTCTATCCTCCTGAAATGTCCATCCGTCCTTTCTCCCTATCTGTTCCTCAGACGCAAATAGTTTTTCCTCAGATGTGAGCAGTTTTTCTTCCATCTCACTCATCTCCAGGGACAGGCAACTTAAAACAAAAGTGAAACAAAACAAAAGAAGAATCTTAAAATGGCTACCCATCCTCTCGCCCTGCCCTCAGGGGGGAGCAGTTTACCTTATCACTTACCCTCAGTCATTCCCCGTGTGGCCCACCAAATGCCGCAGTCTGGCTGGGCACAATTCAGGAGCCACTTGTCAAAAGAAATGAACTTTATTTTTAGAACCACACACACCAAACAAAACAGCTCCTCAGGAAAAACCTTCAGAGCCCAACTGCACCACCAGCTTCCCACAAGCCTCTCCACCTCCCCCACTCCTCCTGCTCTTGAGGCCGATTGGCTGGGTTGCATGGGCGGAGCCAAAAAAGTCCCCCAATGAGCAGCTCCATGGTCTGAAAGGGCAGGGAAACAGCCCAATGAGCATCACCGCAGAGAAGCCAATCAGTTGGCAGCTAGAAGTTGCTGGGGCCACTGTGAGCCAATCCATCAGCTGGCAGCTGGAAGTTTGCTGGCAGCTGGAAGTTTGCTGGGGCCCCTTCGGCTGTGGCTCTCAACACTAAGGTTTAAATATTTAATTTCCTAAGTTTGATGTAATACATAATTAAATCATTTCTTAATTTCCATCAAAGAAATATAAAAAGAAAAATAAAAGATGATACATAATGTCCTAAAACAATTTTTCATAAAACTGTAATTTGGATATATGACCTCTTTGATTTGTTTAATCACCTCCATGGGGCATCAGTCCCAAAGGTCTAAGCCACATCAACACAGATAGCCTTCGCATAAATACATCCTGGCTACATGGTAATGATTTTTGGAACACACATAAACAAATACAGTGCCCTTCTGGTTTAATTAGGCAATAATTTACCTACAATTATGAGTAACAAGAGAATACACTAAAAGACTACAAATATTGAGCCAAAAATACATTTAACCAAAACTGATTCATCAAGTTTTCCAACAATACCACATCTAGTTTTTCTCTAGCATCTGAATTAAATAGAGATTGACATTAAATCTTATCTATTTCAATTGTTGAATTAAAATGTGATTGGGTTGTAATATCCATATAAATAAATTTTGGTTAATCCAATTTTTCAATAACTTGCCCCATAAGAATTTTTTCTGAACTATTAATTAAATGAATCATACTCCTAATGGAAACATGGATGCATTTGGACTACATGAGAGTGTGACAGCTGTGGATTCTTAGCTCTTGAAAATATATTCTTTTTTTTTTTTTACTTCTGGTAAGTATTCTCTCTTATCTGAAAAAGATACAGGGTAGAAAATAGATCCTAGTTGGCACAGGCCTTAGTCTGAAATTAAATATAAATAGAAAGTACAGTATATTTATATAATATAAAACTAATACTAACATACTAATGCCCTCTAAGGAATGAAGGTTAAATTTCAACAATGGCAGTTAGTGTATTTTGAAGTGCCTGAATGTTATCCATACATCAAGCATATGCAAAATAATTTATATTTACTATATAATCTAATCTTCCTCACAACCATCTTACAAAATAGGTACTACTATAATAACTATTTTATCCATCAGCAGAAGCTAACAGAAGATAATTGGCTTCCTCACCTTCACATAGTGAGAAAGTGACTGAGATCAGATGTAATAAAATCACAGGTAGTCTGAATTCACAGTCTAGGGTCTTAACTATTGTGATATTGTCTTTTTTTTCTTGGGCTTTGTATGGCTATGATAATATACCTCTTCCTTTATAATTAATAAAAAAGCCAATCAATTTATTTTTTAATATTTATTTTTCACTTTTAGGTGGACACAATATCTTTATTTTATTTTATGTGGTGCTGAGAATCGAATGTTACACATTTTTAATTCTTTCTCAGTATCTTGCCACATCATTAAGTACATCTGAAGTATGATTAAATATTTTTTTACTCATTTTGTTTTAAATTGCACTAAAGAAAATAAAATGCCAAACTATGGTAGCTTATTGGGAACTGAAGTCCATAATATGAAAAATGAAAATCTGAGTTTCAAGTAAACTGTAGTATGCATCTTTTTATTTTCTATTTCTTCAACTCCACTGTAATGTCCCATTTTTATATTTATATAATTTTTGTTTATTTTGTTTTTAAAAAAAAACTTTATTGTATAAATTTAGGATTTAAACAATATTCAATATATGTATAGTAATGATTTAATCAAAATAATTATCTTTTTCAAAATAATTATCTTTTTCAACTCATTTTTTAAATTGAAATTAAAATAATATTTAATATGCAGTCCAGCACTTAAATAATATGGAAAATGTTTTAAAATGTTAAATGAAATGACTTATGATTGAACTCACAACATTAAGTACTATAATGAATAATTCTTGTCATGGCAGTATTTCTAAGAATATTTAGGGCCTTATCTAATCCAAGCTTCAGATTGAACTAATGTTTTTCACCTCCTAAAAGGAGTTACATGGGGGCTAGGGTTGTGGCTCAATGGTAGAGTGCTTGCCTAGCATGTGCAATGCCCTGGGTTCAATCCTCAGCACCATATAAAAATAAATAAATAAAATATAGGTATTGTGTCCAACTACAACTAAAAAATAAATATTTTTTTAAAAATTAGTCACGTGGGGCTGGAGATGTGGCTCAAGTGGTAGCGTGCTCGCCTGGCATGCCTGCAGCCGGGGTTTGATCCTCAGCACCACATACAAACAAAGATGTTGTGTCTGCCAATAACTAAAAAATAAAATATTAAAAAATTCTCTCTCGAGTCTCTGAGCAGCCATTGAAGGGGAAGGAACTGCTGGTGTGTGTGTGTGTGTTTGTGTGTGCGCACGGGTGTGTGGACAAGGAGGTGGGGGCAGTCGAGTTAGAGTCCCAACTCCTTGGACTCCATTTGCTATTCTTTTCTTTCTCCCCCACATCTATCTGGTGGTAGTGGGCGCTTAAATTTGCGTTTCTTTTCATTCATTTCCAAATCTTTTTATAATTTCAGGGTTGGGGGGTAGTGGGAAGAGCAGGAAAGGGGAAAGGAGGAGAGTAGGAGCAGAAGAGCAGGAGGAGGACATGGAGATGAAGAAGAGGATTAACATGGAGTTAAGGAACCGAGCCCCGGAGGAGGTGACAGAGTTAGTTCTTGATAATTGCTTGTGTGTCAATGGGGAAATTGAAGGCCTGAATGATACTTTTAAAGAACTAGAGTTTCTGAGTATGGCTAATGTGGAATTAAGTTCATTGGACCAACATCCCAGCTTAAACAAACTTCGAAAGTTGGAACTTAGTGACAATATAATTTCTGAAGGCTTGGAAGTCCTGGCAGAAAAATGTCCAAATCTTACCTACCTCAATCTGAGTGGAAACAAAATCAAAGATCTCAGTACGGTAGAAGCTCTGCAAAATCTTTTTTTTTAATTTTTATATCATTTTATTTATATTATATTCATTTTGTTGTAAATTTTATTCAAATGTAGTGTCCACTTAAAAGTACAGAGATAATAAATTTACTACTCAATGAATTTGCACAAAATGAACTCATGCAACCAAGATCAAGTTCAAGAAACAATGTAGCCAGCATCTCAGAAGCCTCTCAACTAACTTGTAGTGTTAAATACCTTCCCAAGGGTAGCCACCATGATGATTTATAGCACTATACAACAATTTTGACTGTTTTGAAATATATATATATATATATGAAAACTATCATATAATAGCACACTTTTTGCTTGGTTTCTTTCAGGTAACATAATGTTTCTAAACCCATCCATGTTGTGGCATATTCACAGTTTATTCATTCCCATTGCTGCATGATTTTCCATTTCACAAGCATGGCACAATTAATTAATCTAACCAGCCATATATGAGCATTTGGTTTATTTTCAGTTTTTCAATTTTGTTTTGGGGGTACTTGGGATTGAACTCAGGGGCACTCGGCCACTGAGCCACATCCCTAGCCCTATTTTGTATTTTACTGATAGGCAGGATCTTACTGAGTTGCTTAGTGCCTCACTTTTGCTGAGGCTGGCTTTGAACTCTAGATCCTCCTGTCTCAGCCTCCCGAGCCACTGGGATGGATCATAGGCATGTGCTACCAAGCCCAGCCAGTTTTTCACTATTTAAAATAATACTATCATAAACATTTTTGTACCTGTCTTTTGGTGAATTCATGTATACATTTCTCTTTTATTTATCCAGAAATGAAATTGCTGAGTCATAGGATATACATAGTACATACTGCCCAATACTTTCTGAGGTGGTTACAACAATTTAAACTTTCATCAAAAGTGTAAAAGTTACTACTCATACTGAAAAAAAATTGATTTTATCTTTTCCATTTTTGACACTTTGGAGAATATTTAATGGTATCACATTGTGTTTTTTAATCAAGTTTTTAAATTTTAACATCTTTTTACGGTTTTATTATCATATCCACTACATCTGTACTTATGCAACCTCTCAGCTTTCTAAACTAGTGTCTGTGACTCCTTTTTTTCTTCTTCATATTTATTTTAGGCACCTTTTCCAAGAATCAGATTTTTCTTCTCTTGATCATATTTATATTTTTATTTTCTAGTTCATTAAGTTTTGCTCATATTTCATAAATTCCTTTCTTCTATTTGAGGGGATTTATTTGGCTATTCTTTTCCAGACTTCTTGAGTTAAAGCATAGCTTATTCCAATTCAGCCATTCTCAATTTTTAGTAAATGTGATGGCTTCATGTACCTCCTCCTGAGAACTGCCTAGACTTACATCCCACAATGTCAGCAAATGGTGCTCTCATTCATCTTTTTTTTTATTAGTTGTTCAAAACATTACAAAGCTCTTGACATATCATATTTCATACATTAGATTCAAGTTGGTTATGAACTCCCAATTTTACCCCAAATACAGATTGCAGAATCACATTGGTTACACATCCACATTTTTACATAATGCCCTATTAGTAACTGTTGTATTCTGCTACCTTTCCTATCCTCTACTATCCCCCCTCCCCTCCCCTCCCATCTTCTCTCTCTACCCCATCTACTGTAATTCATTTCTCTCCTTGTTTATTTTCCCATTCCCCTCACAACCTCTTATATGTAATTTTGTATAACAATAAGGGTCTCCCTCCATTAAACAAGTCAAGACTTTTCAAATTTTTAAGATTTTGCAGAAGTGTTTGCCTAGTTCTGCAAAATCTTAAAAATTTGAAAAGTCTTGACTTGTTTAACTGTGAGATCACAAATCTGGAAGATTACAGAGAAAGTATTTTTGAATTGCTGCAACAAATCACATACTTAGATGGATTTGATCAGGAGGATAATGAAGCACCTGACTCCGAAGAGGAGGATGATGAGGATGGAGATGAAGATGATGGAGATGAAGAGGAAGATGAAGCTGGTCCACCTGAAGGATACGAGGAAGAGGAGGAAGATGATGATGAGGAGTAGGATGAAGATGAAGCAGGGTCAGAATTAGGAGAGGGAGAAGAAGAAGTGGGCCTTTCTTACTTGATGAAAGAAGAAATTCAGGATGAAGAAGATGATGATGATTATGTAGAAGAAGGGGAAGAAGAGGAGGAAGAGGAAGAAGAAGGTCTCCGGGGGGAGAAGAGGAAACCAGATGCTGAAGATGATGGAGAGGAAGAAGATGACTAGATCATTCTAAGACCAGATTCCCCAGCATTCCTGGGTGTGCAATAGAGTGATCACATCTTTGTTTTTTCATGTACAATAGCTATCCCTACAGAAGATAATGTGTAACTTTTTATAGAAAAGTGTGGTTTTACTATTTTTGCCTTATCATTCCAGTTAAGATTTACTAGTCTGTTAATGATCATATTGTATGTAGAGAAAAAATTTCATTGACACTCCCCCTTAAGACATTCTCTAGCAATTATATTTAGAAGCTTAATTTTTCTAATTCAAATTCAAGTTCATTGTATTAGTAATTTTTAGTCCATAATTAAAACATGATTGCTTTTACACAGGTGAAGTTTGGTGCATTTCATTCATAAGATTTTAAAGTTATTTATAAATTAACTGAAATTACAGTCATCTGTAATATGAAATGACAGTAGTCTCTTGAATAAGTTGATTATTATTTTTTTAGAGATGATACAGGGATCTTTATTTTGAAGTCACTGACTTTTTTTTAAATAGCTAAAGATATTTGGGTGGTTTTTTTGTCACATGAATTAAGTTGCAAAGTAGAAGCAGAATAATAAAGGTTCTATTCAACAAATTACATAGTTTGTGGATTTGGGGGAGGTTCTAGACAGTAATATAATTCATGGATTTTGTGGTGATTGATAAGATTTTATTTTTGAAGGAAAAATTGCCTACACTAAGTGAGACACGCAGATGAGCCCTCTCTTTAGGCTGCAGATCATGACATGCCAATGGTTGTTTATTTCGTTTTGTTTTAGGTGTGCATTTTCTCATCAATTTCTTTATGATCAACCTCCCTTCTTGTTGACTCCCCTTTGTCTATCCCAAAAGGAAGCTGGGAACTTCTGGATACCCAGAAAACCTTTAGTCTTATACCTCAACCACCTTTTCAGATCTCTCTGGGTTTTAAACAGAGTGGAAGAAACTGAGAATTTTCTGAGATACAAATATTGTTATTGATACAATTTCAGGCAGCAAGCTCTGCTTATTGTAAATCTTTCTTGACTGAAAATATGTAAGACCATATAAGTAGGAGGAAGAAAGTAAAGAAGCAGGGGAGGGGTTTTGAATTAGCATCAATGTCCATTGCCTGTTGATAATTAAGGAGATATTTAAGTCAGTTTTTAAGTTGGCATCCCAAATTATTTGGATACCAACCCTGCGCAGCATTTATAATTTTTCTGAGTAGACCTTTAGTTCCTATAGTTTTAAAGCATTACCAGATGTAGCATTTAATTGGAATATTATAGGCAGTTGGAAAAATATTTGGGATTAAATATTAAAATTAAGACTTATTTTCAAGTGAATGTCCATTAAAATAGAAGAATATTTGGGATAAGTATGAGTGTGTGCTTACTTACATGGTTACTAAATAAAATATAACGAGTACACAGTACATCTCTGTTTTTGTTATGGAGGCTCCATGTTCAAGGTAACTGCTTTGTTCATCTTGACTATCTTAAAATTTTTTCTTTGTTTTGAATATTTGTAATGTTTTTAAAAGTTAGTGTCAGTAAACTAATTGAAGCTATTCTTCTACTGGGACACATTTAAATTACTGAGTGTAGTACTACTGCTGCTTGTTTTTTTGTTTGTTTGTTTGTTTGTTTTAGTTTAAAATGTATGACTTGGCATTTTAAAGGTTATTTGTGGAGAAACTAAAACAGTTGCACAACTGACTGAAATAAAACACTTGGAATAAATTTAGTAGGGGGATCAGAAAGTACAAAAGATTGACATTTTTTTCTCCTAATTTTTAACAATTGATATGCCCTGCTTTAGTCTCTAAGAATTCTCTTTACATACTATGTCCAGATTATAAAATACTTATTTTTAAAATGAAATCTATATATTGACTTTCTTATCAATCATCTTATTGTGCAATCAAAATTAGAGTTCTTTGGTTTGAAAACAACACATAGTGAACCTTCAGATAACTTTTAAGAACTTATTTTTTGTAGGTGGTATTTTCATGCAAATAACTAAGGGAGGTTTTATATTTTGTAGAAGTTTGGGGTCCTATTTTAATGCTCTTTGTATTGCAGTATGTATATAGTGTGTTAAGTTCTTTAAGAATCTCTCCATAAACGTTGAGGTTAATACTTTTGTGCAACTGTGTTTTTGAATAAAGCCATGACAGTGTTAAAAAAAATTCTCTCTCTCTCTCTCTCTCTCTCTCTCTCTCTCTCTCTCTCTCTCTCTCTTAAAAAAATTAGTCACATGTATTTTAGAAAATGTATACAGATTATAGACATCCACTGTGCTCTTCAACAGTATAAAACACCTGGTGTACTCTGCTCACTTTTGTACACAGTAATTTGAAATATTTGATAAACTTTGATGTGTCTAGTAGAAATTAACCAAGAAAACATGGAAATTTAGATCATGTACTGCTCAGAAAAAACTGAAAGTGTATTTAGTCTAAGAGTACATATGTAAGATTTTTCAGATAAGCCAAACTAACAAAACATCATCCAGAGAAGTATATTTGGCTTTTTTTTAACTTGTCAATGGACCTTTATTTTTTTTACTTACTTATATGTGGTGCTGAGTATCAAACCCAGTGCCTCACACATGTAAGACAAATGCTCTTCCACTGAGCTATAGCTACAGTTCCAGTATATTTGGCTTTCTAACAGTTAAAATGATGGAGGTCATTATTATAAACATTAGGACAGTGGATACTCCAGGGGACAGCAAGGCAGTATAATAGAGATAATTGGTAACTTTCTATTTCTTCACTCAGGTGATAGTTAAAAGAAATATTTTCCTATACTCCTCAAGCTTCTACTTTTGTTTGGTATCTCTCTTTTATTTTATAATGATACTAACATATGGTGGGTTTTTAAATTAAGGCATGTCGAAATAACTTATTCTGTGTTGTTTTATAATAAAGAAAGAGATTCAGTGCCTACATGTTACAAGGAAGTATCTTTAGCATTGATTAAAGGAAGAAAAGCACTCCATGTACAACTGATTTGCCTGTCATAAATGTTGTATGAAATATGAGTTGTGTGAATAATTTGTGGAAGGATATCCTATGCAAGAACAAAAGCTGGATTTTGAGGTCCATTTCAACTTTAAAATAATGCTTTGAAAGTTACCAGTACCATAACAATTTTAAGCAACCAAAACATCCCAGTATTTTTGTATTTAGGGAGCTCAAGCCATCTTCTGTTCATGGGCTTTATCACCTCAATAAATACATTATAATTGTACATATTTATGTGCAAAGGTATGCCTATACCTTTTAAGAGTTATGGGAAAATATTTAAGACAATCTAGATTAGCTTTAAACCATGATGGTAAAATAACTAGTGTGAAACATGAAGAGAATAAAGAATACATAGAATAATAATGATTCAGATATAAGTGGATATGTTTTATCAATTTTAGAATTAAATAATAACACAGCTCCAAGTGCTATAACAAATATTAACCCTCACAACCTACCATTGTGTAAGGGGCTATTATTATAGTCTATGATTATATTCTATTCTTCACATATAAAGAACCTGGTACACAATCAGGTTAAATAATTACAAAAAAAAAAAAAAACATGCTTCGCAGTGGTGGAGCTGTGATTTGACGCGGGCAATTGGAGTTTAGAATCTGTACTTAAGCACTATCCTTGACTTAACTGACATCCTACTATGTAAAAATGAGACATTCTCTAGTTAAATTGAATTCACATTTTTTACTGAGGAAAAACTACATCTTTATCACATCCAATCTGATAATAAAAGTATCTTCCATATGCCCATTATGTTATCACCATGTTTTAACTAAAGTGCTTATATTAATGATTCTTGAGATATTTTATCTATATTTTATAATGCAACTGAAATAATTCAAGTGTTTATTCCTTGTCTGCAAAGACACTGTAAAAGTATACTGGGTCTGAAGTGTATGGTCAGAAATAATATATAAAAAAAATTAATTCAATTATTAAATAGTCTATATTTTTAATGATACAAAACTCAGAAATAGTAAAATTGGTTAAATCTTTATCCTTGTATGTACTCATTTTAGCATGAAAGATATGATGATTTTATAGAAAGGGTTCCAAAGCAACAAAAGATTCACTCATGTGATCAGTAAATTTTACAAGTATAAACAATTTACTGATAGTTTAATAAATTATTGTTTTCATTACCTGTCTACCTAATTTGGCAAACTGGACACATGATAGGAGCTTATAATGATGGTTGCTATGTGTTTGTTGTGACCAAAAGTTCAATTCTTAACTTTGTAACAAACAGATTAGGTTAGTTAGGTAGTGAAGTATTAGTAATTATAGCAATTGCCAAAAATATGGCATCTATACATGTAAATAAATATAATGAAAAATATTAGCCAGGTGTAGTGACACATACTTATAACCCCCTGGCTCAGGAGGCAGAGGCAAGGGGATCACAGGTTCAAAGCCAGCCTCAGCAACTTAGTGAGGCCCTAACCAACTTAGAAAGAACCTGTCTCTAACTACAAATATAAAAAGGGCTGGGGCATGGCTCAGTGGTTGAGTGCTCCTGAGTTCAATCACCAGTATCAGGGAAAAAACAGAAGAGAAGAAAAGGAAAAATATTATTTCTCAGCAACCAAAACACAGTTTTTTAAAAAGTATAGTTATGAATGCCAGAATTATTACAAAAAGCAGGAAAAATATGAGTACTAAAATAAGTGCAGTAAAAGAGATTATCAAATAAAGATGTTTAGAAGTGAATAAGGAAATTTTTTTTCTGCTACCAAACAGTGGAGTTTAAAAAGTAAACATGTCATTTTACTTTTTTACCTCAAGCACAGCTCCTTTGATAAAGGAAAGACATCATAATCAAGTGATCAAGAGACAAATAGTGTCATGGTTCCAAGGAGAAAAAAACTCCTCAAAATATATCCCACTCTTAAAATCATGTGATTGACTTTATGGATTTATTGCTTAATTAAAATATATGGAGTATAGTTCGAAATCTGGTATCACTATACCGTCTGATCTTTTGGCTTCTGGTAAGTATTCTCCATTGTTTTCTGCAAAAAAATTCAGGACAGAAAAAAAAAACCGATCCTACATAGCACAGGACTCAGTCTAGCATGAAATATACATATTTGTGTGTGTATACACCTACATATTACACGTAAGGAAGTAATATATCAGTAATTAGCATGTGTTAGGGAATAATATATTATACATAATAACATATATTACTAAAATAAGTGTGTGATGAACACAAAATTCAAAACCATGATTATGCAGCTGGGGCTGTAGCTCAGTGGTAGAGCATTTGCCTACCATGTGTAAGGCACTGGGTTCAAACCTTAGCCCCATATAAAAATAGATAAATCAAATGAAGGTATTGTGTTCACC